TAGAAAACTAATTGAGGTACCACAAGACTTCGTGAGAATGACTTCATTTTGCATATTTTAAAATAAGAACCAGAAGCATTCAAAATAATATATGATGAAGATTTTATAATTTATATGAATACTCTTTTTTCAGTTAAAGTTTTACTATCTGCAGATTACTATAGAAATTTGTCTAATTTCAATAATCAGTGAATTATTTTTGCTTTCTTTATTCTTATGTGATACTTAAATCTTAACCTTAAATCACAATGTAAATGCCCAACAAATTACACTAGTAAAATTAACATCAAATGTACATATACAAAATATGCATTTCAATTTTCAAGTTCAAATTAATTTAGATACCATTAATATTGTAGTTTTCAAAGAAGTTAAAATCAAAAGTAGTTAAATAATCTGAGATGTAAAAGTATATCATAAAAGTGTTAGTCAATAGGGGATTCACATGAAATTATCATAAGTGTAAACAATTTAATCAATTAAACACTATTGTAGAACTTAAAACACAACTGAATATTTTGTTCACTCTTGTGGCTCCAATTACTGTATGTCTAACAATCTTGAAAACTAACTATTATTGAACCTAAAAAAATTAAACATGCACTAAGTTTGAGTTTATATAGTTCACAAAGCACCTAATTACATCAACTCTCATTGGCTAAAGATATCTTGCTTATAAGGATTCTGATTATAAGGATTATTTCAATAAATCAGATCAACTCTCACTGCATACAGTTAACCTAACATCTAGAGAAAATACATAATCAAAACTATCCTAAAAAAAAAAAGAGCAAATGAGTAAGTAAATGACAAATACCTTCACTCCAACTTACTTCACTTAGTTTCAGTATGAAAATAAAGCAAGAAACCAGTGTAAACTATGATTTTTGAAATTGGGTTACTTACTTCGAATGATCGATCATAATCTTAAAGCCTTTTGCGAGAAGGTGAATCAGTCAACTGTGCATTTTCCTATGTTCAATTCCATTTTCTTTTATTTTTTATTCATAACACGGAAACACCTAAAAACATAAATAAGTCTAAAAAATAAAAATAAAACATAGAAGTTTCTTTTATTACTAATGGATTGCCTCCCAACAAGCACTCATTCGAAACATTTTCTCAAATTTTGTAGTTCATATTTAGTCTGATGAGCATGCGGACTTGCTCCAAAACAATTTACACCATCAAATGCATTGACCTTCAGAGCACTGCTCATAAGACTCTTCACAACTTCCACATCTTTCTCTTTCATCTATGAGGGGTGAGAATAGCTCGAATATTCGAATTTTTTTTTGAAGTTTGAGGATCTCCCTTGATCCTTTTACACTTTAGCTCCCCTCTAGCTCTTGTATCAGACGTATGAGTTGCGATGCAAGAGTATCCATCCGTGACTTCTTTTATCTTGCTCTTATCACATAAAACTCCCTGAGAAGTAGCTGCATGTATATGTCCATTAAACACACAGACACAAGTGGCTAGTTGCATACATTTTTTGGTTGGGCCCAGGGCATAAGGGGCAAGATGACTTGACGTCATCCTTGCACAAATTTGTACTAGAAATTCTTAAGAGAATTAACTATTGCACCAGTTATGCTAGAAGAGTTCTTCCCAAAATCAAAGCACTCTGTTAACCTTTGCTCATCTCTACTACCAGAAAATCAATTGGAGGAAAACAATTCCAAACTTTTTCATCTATATTATTAATGGTACCATGTGGAGACTTGGCAGAATAGTTCAAAAACTTCACAACCGGCTTAGGAAGATATGTAGTAATATTCAATCTCTCCGCAATGTCCTTGGACATGTACTAACTGTATACCCAAAATCACAAAGAAAATATGTAAAACCAACTCATAATACAAAACATAAATTACATATTTTCCAAGGTCTTCTAACTTGGGAAATTTGTTCAACTAATGAAGATTCCTTTCTAGTTTTGAAAAAATAATTCATCGATCTCTCCTTGTGATGTGATTCTGAACAAAGTTGATATTGGAATTGGTAGACACTGCCTTCAGCTCGATCAAAGACAACTAGTTCGGCCACCCGAGGAGATACAAGTGGCCAACTTTATTCTTGATGAACCAATAATCAAGTCAGCAAGGCCAAAGATAATTTATCAGCTCCAGGACGTCGAAGAAGGTTTGGGTCATTTGATTTATCAAGAGAGAAATAATCAGATTGACTTGGGCTGTGAAAAGTATCCAAACAAATTCATTTTATCTTTGATCAGTAGCAACTTCAACCAGACCATAAATAAGTGGTTTATTGGTCCATTATTGACAAGGAATATTCAGGGAGTGCCATCTTAATGCAAAGACATGTGGGTGGTCAAGAGGCAGTCAAGTTTCAGTCAAAGACTTTGTTCAGTCAAGTCTTAGTTTACATTTTTAATATTATTGTTTTGAACAACTTTATTTTTGATTTCTACAAAATGTAATCCTATAAATAAGCCTATAAACCACAAAATAAGAACAAAAAAATTGTGTTAAACCTTGTGTTTGTTTCTGAGAGTGATTCTTCTTTGTTCCTTGTGAACATTTCAACTGCTTGATGAGTAATATCCTTATAATCAAAACTGGTTTACCAAGATATCTTTCATCCTATCTTATGGTGTCATTCAACCAGGCTGAATATCAAAGAGACGTCCGAAGTTTTGCTTTGGGTGTTGAGTTAAACGAGTTCAACTCAATATGACATGTATGAGTAACTCACCGAGTTCAATGATGTCCACAATAAAATCACCTCATCTAAGCATAAAACAAAGTTCAACTCACCTTGACAAATAAGAGTAACTTGTTGAGTTGAATAACATTCACAACAAACCCACCTTCATCTAGGCACAAATTCAGGTTTAACTCACCTTGACAGGTACAAGTAACTCGCCGAGCACAATGAATTTGAACATGATTCACAGCAAACTCGTCTTGACTAAGAAATAAGTCGAGTACAACTCTCCTTAACAGGTTCAAGTTACTCGCCTAGTTGAAAGGCTCTGAAAAGATTCATAATTCACTTGCCATGATCGCCTAAGACTAGTACAACTCTCTTTTACTGATTCAATTTAGTAGCCTACTTAATCATCGTGTAGTTGAAAGACTATGAAAGAATCACAATATACTCGCCTTGATCAGGAACTAAGTCGAGTACAAATCTCCTTGGCAGGTTTGAGTTACCCGTGTAGTTGAAATACTCTGGTAAGAGTCATAGTTCACTTTCCTTGATCGCCTAAGATGAGTACAACTCTTCTTGAAAGGTTTGAGTTACTCATTTAGTTGATCATCGCCTAGCTGAATGACTTTGAAAAGAGTCATAATAAAATCACCTTGTTCAGGAACGAAGCCGAGTACAACACTCTTTGGAAAGTTTGAGTTACTCGCCTAGTTGAACACCTAGTTGAAAGACTCTGGAAAGAATCCACAATAAACTTTTCTTGATCGCCTATGGCATAAAACACAGAGTTTATTTTCCCATAAATAATTTTACAAAAAAATTTTGAAATTGTTTTCATCTCTCTCAATGAACTAGGGACTTATTGTTGGGGATGGGTTCACTCTCTCAACAAGCATATCAAACAATGAACTCAAACCATTTAAAAGAATGAAAAATCACAAAAGAAAAAGAAGTCAGCTAAATATCCTAGAAGGAAAAGGAAAAAATATCTATTTCAATCTTATCTAATTAAGGATGCTCCTCAAAGCTAAGGAGACATAGAGAGAATAATCTAATTAAGAACATTGACAATCCATCTAAGTACATCGTCAATCATCTAAAAACATCACCTATGAATTAGGCACATCGCTAATTATTTGAGTACATAGCTTATCATCTAGGCACATCGACGATCAAGTAGACAAATTTACACATAAAGTCAAAAGACCTAGTTCTCTCATTAACGCCATATAGCATTTTTTCCTTTGTAATGAACTAAGAACTACGATTGGTTTGATACATGTTCTATCTATCTTATATATTATTTAGAATTTCTTTCAACTTCTGATATAAGACTTTTGTCCATAATACGTCCCTCGAGATAATAGTTCTTTGAGAGTCAATTTGGAAATGTTCGGACAATGAACGATGGGCGTACGTTAGGCTAAATCAGTTTGGAATGTATGGATCAACCTCTGATACCATGTTAATCTAGAGGAATTTCCAACATAAAACCAATTGGTGATAAATAGATTGACAAATCTATCTTATATATTGTTTAGGATTTTTTTTAACTTCCAATGTATGATCTTTAATTTTTCCCTAATATATTTAAAGGATACATAAACAGTCTATATCTGAGTTCAGCTATAATTCATATCTTTTATGTGAATTCGCTTATTTCTTATCTCACTATAAAGTCCACCATCAAAATTGTGCCTGCTCCTAATGTAGACTGCATTCAGATTATACATCTAGTTTTTGCCTTTTTCTTCACCAATTTCCTTGGAGTCATGATAAAACACCATTTCTTTGAAAACCCTCAAACATCTAAAACATAGATGACATTTTTTAAAAAAGGTTCAAAAATCACTGAAAACAATTTCAAAAGTTAGTAAAAACCAAAGTATATCGCTATGAATATTCTTCTTTTTGTATACGACAATAAAAATAATAATTAATATACAAAACAAATTTTAATTCTTTTATTATATTTATCTTCAGGACGTAAAGGATGATCCATGAAATATACTGTTTGTACTATAGAATCAATCGAACCAATCTCTGAGATAATATCAATTATTTTATCTTCATCCTTTACCGTTTCAAATCAGATGGCGATGTAAGAAGCTGCAGGCTGCACAATAATTAGTAATAAAAATCAAATAGAATTAAGAATGTTAACAGTTTACTTAAATGTTAACTAAGAGATGAAAACATCAATGAAAATAAAATAATAATAAGTCAGCATCATCACAAGTAGATATATTATTATAAATATGTAGAGAGATGGGTATTCATAGTTCATTGAGATCTAAGATCAGTTAAATTCCTTCTTCAATTTTCTTTTAAGGAATTTGTTCTTTTTTAAGGTCAAAACTAGAAGAGAAGAAGAAGAAGTAACTCAATCCTCTCCATAGAGAAAATAAAATCCATGGCTTCTTTGCGATTCTCGGTCACCTTCCACACCTTCCTCCTCTTCTCTCTGGTATGTTATGTACCTTTCGCTAAGAGTTTTAAATAAGGCTTAATTGGGTTGAAAGTATTATTCATGTGAGCTGCGTCTTGAACCGGATCAAAACTATATAAATGATAAAAAGTACTCTAATCGTACAGTAAGAATATTACATCGTATTCATCAAATAGGTTTTTATAAACTTTTGTTTTGAGAACATAATGAATATATTTTGAGCTCTGCAGAAGTTTCTGATTCATGGGTTTTACTTCTTACAACATTGTTCGAAAGAAATAAACAATAATCTTCTTCTCTTTTGGGAAACATGTTATTACGATCTTTGTGAAAATGATTTAAAATTTTAGTTAAAAAAAGAAATTAAAATTTGAGTATTATTATTTCGAAGATTTTCGTCTCTAATATATTAAATCGTTTTTTTGTGTTAGTGGGTCGTGGAGGCACACACGTCAAGAAAGCTGCTATCAACAAATGAACAAGAAGTTCAAAACAATAGCCATTTGCTCAAAGATGGTGAATTCGAGGATCCAACACTGTACATGTTTTTCAAAATCAATGATCTTAAATTAGGATCCAAATTGCCCATTTACTTCAACAAAAACGATCTTAGAAAAGTTCCTCCACTTCTCACAAGACAAGAAGCTGATCTCATTCCTTTCACTAAGTCGAAGCTTGACTTTCTTCTCAATCACTTCTCTATCCCCAGAGACTCTCCTCAAGCGAAAGCCATGAAGGAGACTTTGGTACGTTGTAACTACAAGGCAATTGAAGGTGAGTACAAGTTTTGTGGGACTTCTTTAGAGTCAATGCTTGATCTTGTGAAGAAAACAATAGCATCTAATGCGGATCTCAGGGTCATGACGACTAAAATAATGGTACCGGCTCAACACACAATAAACTATGCTTTGCATAACTATACATTCTCCGAGGCTCCTAAGGAGCTTATTGGGATCAAGATGTTGGGGTGTCATAGAATGCCATACCCCTACGTCGTTTACTACTGCCATGGTCATAAAATTGGAACCAAAGTCTTTGAAGTTAACTTGGTGACGGACGATGGGAAACATCGGGTTGTGGGACCTGCTGTTTGCCACATGAACACGTCTATGTGGAACGTTGATCATGAAGCTTTTAAGGTGTTGAAAATAGAGCCAAGGTCCGCACCAGTTTGCCACTTCTTCCCTCTTGATAACATTGTGTGGGTAGCAAAGTAGGAAAATAACGTAGCTCTATGAGATGTGAGTATGTGTATTCTAATAACTATGGCTTGAAAGAAAAAAAAAAAAAAGAAAAAAAAAAAGCAAAAAGACAGTCTTGTTGGTTTTGGTATTTGCCACTTTTGTGTGACTTGCAGCTTCTAACGTGAAAATACAACTACGATTCATGTAACATATACATATATCTCACGCGTCCCTATATAATACTATATAATTATGGTGTATATTCTATAACGTGTGTGGTATTTACAGTTACTTCAGTATTTAAAATCACTTCAATATTTACAATCGTTGTTTATACAGTATTGTATAACTGAAAAAAAAAAAAAAAAGTATTGTATAACTGACAAATTTAAGCCATACTTAGCCCACTCGCATGTTGGGCTCTTTACAATTGGGTTATATACTCATCTTTTGTGTTTTCCACCTTGGCTGACTATGTTTAGACAGATTTGCATGATTAAAACTCTTTTTTTCGTACGAGTTCAGCTTTTTTCAACAATAACTATTCTTAAAACGGTTTATCCAGTCAAATTGATAGTACAATCAGTATAAATGATAGTTAGTGCGGAGTAGTGTTGGCACTTAATATCCGTTGTTATTCGTTATCCGATTTGGGATCCGCATGTCAACTCTCTCTTGTTGATCAATAGGAAGTGTCGAACGATGATTATAGAGGAATATCGATTGATACACTTTTTGCTATGTCGGTCGATTATTCTAGAATATCGATCGATGCGCTTCTAGCAAGCTTTGTGCGCATGTTGATTATGTGCTCACTAGGGTTCCTATATCAGCTATCTCATGTTTCTAGCAATCATAGTTTAATCAGGATCTGTTCAGAATAAAGACCAAGCTCTCGCTTGCAGGGGCGGACCCAGAAAGTTATGAAATATGGGGCACAAAATGTTATAAAATTTTAGTATCAGAATTTTAAATACAAAACTAGATTTTGAACCTGCACATCCGTGCGGGTATTTTTCATTTTATAAAATATAACAAAATCTTTCAAATATATATGATTCACATTCTGTTATATATTGTATAATTGTATAATCTTATAATTTTAATTATTTTTATATAATATATTATTGTAAGTTTTAAAATAAAAAAATATTCATTTATAATTTTTTATATAACGTATTTGTTGTGAGTTACAAAAAATATGTTAACATTTTTTATATAAAAAATATTATATGATTTAAAAACTTTAATATGTTTTAAAAGTGAGTGATATTTATTTATTTATTTATTTAAATAAAAAATAAAAATAAAATATTTTCCTTTACCAATTTAATATATTTTATATTCATTTCACATAGCATTTTATTTTAATATAATATAGAATATAACTAATTTATAAAATATAACGTTTTTTATTTTTAATTAACATTAATATAGATATTTATCTATATTAATCACGAAATTAAATAATACATATTTTATAAAAAAATATTTAAACTTCTTAGTAAGATCTTGTTAGATATTTTCTCAACAAATTTATTACTAATAACTTATTAACTATTAAAATATTCCTCCAATTATATATATTTGATTGATTAATATAAATAATTAAATATGTGATATTAATAAGATGGTCAAACATGATTTTTTGTATCAGATATAAATGCTATTTCTTTTTTAATAGAGAAGATATAAGGCACATAATGCAATAACAAATTAATTTAAAAGCAAATTTTGTATCAAAATTGTTTAAAAAGAAAAATTAGGGTGGGGCCCGTGCCACACCCTCCCTTTACCTTCGTCCGCCCCTGCTCGCTTGCACCTAAGAATCCTATTATTAGGGTTCTAGTTAGCTACTTTTAGAACTCAGTATTAAGAACATCTTATTGAATATTTGGGGATAATCCTTCATAACTTATTTGCACCCTAAATCTAACAAGAGAACTATTTAGACATGGTTAAGCAATTCATAACAACAAAGAGATAAGAAAACTGCATAGATAGATAGATAATAATGGAGATCCAATAACAAGCTTTGAAGAAGTCTTGAATCTTCTCTCCTATCTTACTTAAAATCTCTGTGGTGAAAACTTAGAGAAAAATAAGAAAGCACACTTCGCCGTCAACAATAGGCAAAAGAATAAATACTAGGTAAAAACTCGTTAGAGGTAATCTTGTAATTTGGTGGTTTCTTGGACTTAAAGTCGACAGGAACCAAGTCGAGTATATTCGCGTGCTGACCGTCGATCGATGGCACAAGGTGCACATCAGTCGATAAATGACTCTAAATGTCGACCTCTGGTTTGCTTGATGGTCAGCGGGTGGGTTCTCTTTTTGTCTCCAAAATGCTCCAAAACATCAATTTATTCCAAATCACTCCTCAACTTATAAATATGCTAAATAGACTTTAAAACATAAAAGTTATATATTTAAACAGTTTATAAACCATGGCTAAAAGTGGGTAAAATCCATGGCCTATCAACTTTCCCAGACTTACTCTTCTGCTTGTCCTCAAGCAAATCAAACATGCAGTTTCTCTGAAAGAGGTTTGAAAACAGCGGGGACTCATAGAATTTTTAAACTCATTACTATCACTACTACTATATTGCAATCACATCAAATAATTGCTAGCCTCAGATACTTTATATACTATATCATAGTCTAGCAACCAATTTCATTCTATCAGCAACTTAGCAAATCCTAGCTTGACTCACTTCTCTACTAACCTTATTTTTGCACAAAAATAAATGTGTAGGCTTTACCTTGGGAGTTACGATCAAAGGACACTTGAATTCTTACCCTAGCAAGTATCTGAACACACATGCAATCTTCTATGATCCCTTTCTTTCCTCTTTTTTTCTTTTCTCTAAATTCTTTTTAGATCTCAAACTCAATGTACCTGTTACAGTCCATATTGCCATCTCATTCTTTATTTTTTATTTTATTTTATTTTATTTTCTTTTTGACGAAGTGTAGGTGAATAGTGGGGTCATCGATAATTTACCTAATCCTCGTTTCCATAGTGTGTGATCATTCCTTTGATAAAATAGTAGGGTCATTAGAATCAAAGACCATACATCTTACCGGTTCTTAACTAGACAAAATAAAAAATACTGAAAGAAAAGTATAAATTCAAAATAAAAATAATTTAAAATCATCACATTAACAAACAAAAAAAAATCTATAAATACTAATAAATCTATATTGTTTCAATATAACTAAATGGAAAATTTCCATAAATAATGAACAATATCTCTATGACCTTAAAATATATTATTATTTATACTAATGAAAAACATCCAAAATGGAAAGTGAAAATATTATACATGAAATTAACATAACAAAATACTATAAATCTACAATAATATTTATAAAACAAATAATAATAGAATAAAACCCACACTACAAAAGCTGTAATTCAGGAAAAAAGGATATTATATATATTTTGGTATAACTAACATGTTCAGTTATACATTGATGGTCAGTTGTTCTGTTACTCTCTTGAGCATTATCATATCACTTATTAATGCAGGAAGGATCTAATGCTCGCTTCTTCTCCTGAGAGTGATCTTTCTCTTTTATGTTATGGCACCTACTGGTATCTCTATGTTTTTATTACATGTACGGTTCATTACGTTTTTCTTTCATTAAGCAATGGTGCCTAGAATGTTGTATTACTGCATCTTATATATTAAAACAGAAGTCATGACTTGACTTCATGTGTGATTTTTTAAAAAATGGACTATTACTAGAAAATTATGTTACATTAACTCTCTAATAATCTTATCATTATTATATCTTATAAAAAATCATATATATAATAACAAAGATACGCTTAACAATTTGGTTTTGTTAAATTACCTTATACTTTCCAACTTAGTCACACAAAATATGTCAATAGATATAAGTTTAGGAATCTTCTATTATTTATAAGGAAATATGTCAATAGTAGTAAAATGCATCCAAAATATATTAACAAAAATCTCTATTATTTATAAGGAAATATGTCAATAGTAGTTAAATGCATCCACAATATATTAACAAAATCACAGATTCGTAATATGAAATATTTATATACCCTAACAAAATTTACACGCTATATAGTAGATAAATTTAATTCGATGTAAATTTTTAAAATTAGATTGTTTTAAAAAAAAGAAATTGTTTAAAAATTATTATTAATAAAATTATTTATAATATTAATTTATGAAGCTATAAGTTTAGTTTTTAGCAAAAAATTCTTCGAAGTTTATATTATCTTTGCAAATTTAAATATACTAATATTTAATCAAGCTCTATTTGTATTAATTTATATAAAAATGAAATACTAATCCAACAAAAAATAAAATATAGAAGAAGAAACAAACACATATTTGAAAAACATGTATAATATAAAAATTTTGAAACAATCTATTTGATTAAAACACGTATTATATAATATTATTATGTTTGAAAAACATTTACTATACATATCGTTAATATGTGATTACTATAATATATAGCAATTTACAAGTGAAAACAAAATGTTTATATAATTAATTATAAACGAAAACAAACACCCGCGCGGTTGCGCGGGTCAAAATCTAGTTTGGTGTTAAATGAGACTACAAGCGTTAAAAAAGAAACTAACTTAACATGTAAAAACATCGATCTGGGAAATTATATGGAAATATATCATCATAGGATAGTTTTAAGTTTATTTTTACATTATAAGGATTCTTTCTACTAGGGTAGTTTCTTCTAACCAATTCTACTTTCTATCTATAAACTAACTAAATAAGCTAACTAGATATTATATCTACTTTTCTTTTTCGTTATTTAACTACAGCCCTTCATTCTTTCTCTATTCTATCTCTTTTTTTCTTTACTTTTTATTCTTTGTTACACCGTTGAAAAAAGAAGAAAAAAGTGGCTCACATCTACTCCATATTCAGAGGCTCATCCGCCGCTGCGTCTTCGGCTTCGTCTATTGTTTTCACTTCTCCTTCGCTCAACAGTCATGTCTTTAGTTTGGTCTTCTCCTCTGGTTCAGACCACTATTCATTCTGGTGGTGAAGATGTTGTAGCCGTCCAATCTTCTCTCTGGTTT